CAATCCCTGGTACCAAAAAAAAAAAAAAAAGGCTGAAGCTGGCGGGTTGTGAGTTGGAGGCCAGCCTGTGAGATACGCGTGTCTATACCGATTTTCCAGGACAAAATGTAAGCATTACATATCATAAACACGTACTGATAAAAGTTCTTTAAAATTCCTGGTTTTTGTTTGCTTATTTATTTACTTTGCTTTTTGTATCAGTGTCTTGCTGTGTTGTTCAGCTGGCCTGGAACTCACAGCAGGTCCTCCCGCCTCAGGCTCACAGGCGCGGGCTGCCACCAGAAGAGGCCCAGGAATTTGTTTCTGCACCAACACTGGCTGGTGTCTGTCCTTTCTCGCCCACTGCTCTCCGCATCTTGGTTTAGTGTCCGTGCTCTGTGACAACTCTTCAGCAGTGTGCTGTGACTCCTGAATGCGCCCTTCTTCCTGACCAGGCAACCACGCAGGCACCAGCAAGGGCTGGCCCTGTCCCCCAGCCCTGTCCCCAGCCTGTGTCCTCCCTGCAGACCCTGGGTGATTGTCTCTGGCCCGCCCCACCTGCCACCCCGCTTGCTTCTTAGTTCCTTGATCACGTGTAGGATTTTGTTCACGTCTGGGATGGTGCGCGCCGATCGTCCCAGCACGCGGGGCTGAGGCCAGCGTGGCCTCCATAGTGAGTTCAAGGCCGGCCCGGACTGCACAGTGAGACCCTGTCCTAGACGAAGGAGCAATGAGCGCAGGATGTTCTGCACCCGCGGCAGCAGGGCTCTGTCGGAGCAGCAGTGACTGGAGTCCTCTTTCCATGGTTCTCCTGCAAAGGGATTTGAAAATGACTCCAGGAAGATGGTGCATGGCAGAGGCCAGCACAGTGGGGAGACGAGGACTGGGCGCGGGCTGCGCTGTCACCCCGGAGGACAAACATCCTTGTGCAGCTGGCAAGGCCGTTACAGCTGCAGGACAGCACTTTTGTCTGGAGATGCGCAGTCCCTGCTGTAAATACCCAGGTGGGGAGGCACAGTCCCAGCACGGAGGCAGCCACGCATGGTGGCACACAGCTGCTCAGGAGGCTGATGCAGGAGGGTCACTTAGCCTAGAGTTCCAGAGGAGCAGGGACAACAGAAGCCGAAGTTAGACTTCTGGTCCTGAGCACACTACCAGCACAACACAGTCCAGAGCACACATACCAGACTGTATGGAAGCAAGTACAGCCTGAGGGGGCTGCACGCCTAATATTGTCATACTGCACTGGGCTAATCTCACTCAGTAGGCTGAGGCAGGAGGATCGCCATGAGTTCAAGATCAGCCTGGGCTACATAGTGAAACCCTGTCTCAAAAAATAGAAGGAAGAGAAAATTGAACTGGTGTATTCAGTGTTGTGGAAAGTAAAGCGCAGTCATCTGGAAGAAGAAAGTAGACTGCACATCCGTACCCCAGACTTAGCCCCAAGACCAGACTTGCCCTCGGTCTGGGTGAGGTGGGAAGGGGGCCGTGGCACGTCAGGGTACAGCTGAGGCCAAAGCCGGCAGCCAGGAGGAGAGGAGCTGGCGAGGGCGGTGGAGACCAAGGAGCAGATGAGGGAGGCAGCGTCGGCCTGCACGGGAAGGGTCCCTCCCGGAGCTGGCTGGGCTCTGGCCTTCAGGGCGTCCTCCCGGCCTCTTACGTATTTGTTTCGCCAGTACAGGTGCAGCCGAGAGGAGAGTGAAGCCCCGGAGTGCGGTGAGGAGCAACAACTGCCTTGGCGAGTGTGGCCTGGCACCCGGCGGGGTCCACAGCCACCCGCGCGAGGCAGCCCTGGGCACTCACCTGTGGTCCCAGCACAGAGACTGAAGCAGGAGGATCTCCAGTTGGAGGCCAGCCTGGGCTACATAGTGACTGAAGCTCAGCCAACTGCACAGTGAGATGCTGTCTCCAAACCCACACTTCCATCAGGCGATCAGGCAATCGGTCTGACTGAACAAATTTAATCAGACAGGACAGGCACCTCGCGAGCACATTTTGCAGATGAGAAACAGACAGAAATTGAAAGCTGTGCTGTCCAATACTGGAGATAGAGCCCATGTGGTAAGTGAGCGCTTAAATACTGCCTGGTCTGAATAGAGATTTATGTGTAAAGCACAGCAGATTTCAAGGATTAAACACACAAGCATACACACACACACACGCACGAAAGTAAACTGTCTCATGAGTACTGCCCTGCAATATTGCATGTTCAAACATTTGGGATATATTAGCTTAAGTGAAATGTTACTAAAATTAATTCTACAGGTTTCTCTTTTGGGGATGTAGAGGGTCACATGCTAGGCAGGGTCAGGTCTCACTAAGTAGTTACACTTCCCCAGGCTGGGCTTGAGCCCACAATCCTCTTGCCTCAGCCTCCCAGAATGCCGGAATTCTAAGAGTGGGCCACCATGCTTGGCACCTGCTTCTTTTAACTTTCTTTCACTTGGTCAGGAACAAACTTCTTTTTTTTTTTGTACCAGGATCAAACTCACAACTAAGGACCTTGCGCTTGCTTGGCACCACTGAGCTAAATCCCCAGCCAGGAGCAAACTTCAAATCCTTCCTGCATCTCACACTCTCCTTGGTGGTACGGAGATGGTTTGTCCAACTTGCTGAAGGTCACCCGGCCAGTGTGGGAGGCAAGATGGGAACCAAGCAGGCCCATCTGCCCATCTGTTGGAAACTGGATAAAGAAGATGTGGTTCTTCTATAAAATGGAGTACTACTCAGCCATAAAGAATGAGAAATTAGTCATTCATAGGAAAATGGACACATATTGAGGATATACTCTTCAGCTTTTTTGTTTTTGGTACCGGGGATTGAACTCAGGCCCTTACACTTGTGAGGCAGGCGGCAGAACCACTGAGCCAAATCCCCAGCCCTGAGGATACACGCTTAAGCAAAATAAATAAGTCACACATGTGTAAATACCGAATAGTTTCTCTGGTGTGAAAAACTATAATAGTACACAAGATCCTAATGGGATGGGTAAGAGTGTGAAGTGGGAAGAAAAGGGGTAAAGGTGTAGGGAAAGGGGGAAGGGTAGGGGCAAGGAAATAAGGGAAAAGAAAAAATATGAGAAAATGAAAAAAATGGAAATAAAGAGTTTGTTAATGGGGAGGGGAGGAGGGGGTGAAGGGAGGGCAGGGACAAGGGGAAAAAATGAGAACCAAGACCTGTCATGTGAAGGTGCAGGATCCCAGTAATGAATGTAACTGTATTATAGACCTAGATTGTACCAATAAATTCAATAAAAAAGAAAAAAATTGTAGAATACCTACCTTGTTCATTATGCCAACTGGCACATGGAAATATTGCTGTCGTCTGCTTATTTATTTTACTGGAGGGTTGAATCTAGGGCCTTCATTCTAAGCTACATCCTCAACCTTTTTTATTTTTTATTTTGAGACAGTCTTACTAAATTGGCTAGGCTAGCCTCAAATTTATGATCCTCCTGCCTCAGCGTCCCCAAGTGCTGGGATTACAGGCATAGGCCACCATGCTCAGCTAATAAAATGTTTAATATATATTTTTTCAGAACCAGGGATCGAACTCAGGGCCTTGTGCTTGCCAGGCAGGTGCTGGCACCACTTAGATAAACCTCCGGCCCAAAATGTTGTGTTGTTGTTGTTGTTTTTTTTTTTGGTACGGGGTATTGAACTCTGGACCTTTACTTTTGAGGCAGGTGGTGGAACCACTGAGCTAAATCTCTGGCCCTCAAAATGTTTAATGATTTAATCAATCAAATACAATCTGTCAAAGTATTTGTAACTTGGCATGTAAAGTACATCTAGGTACCTTGTTTACCAGATGTCTAGTAATTCTTGTGCAGCTTGGCACTTTATAAACTTAGAAATTGTGGGACTTCTCGTAGCTTTCAGAGCTGAATTCATTTTTTGGTTCCAGGGATGGAACTCGGGACCTTACACTTGTGAAGCAGGTGGTGGAACCACTCAGCTAAATCCCTGACCCTCAGAGCTGAATTTAAAAGGAAATGAAACAAGTTAGTCATGGTGGCGCATGCCTGTTATCCCAGCACTAGGGAGGCCGAGGCAGGAGGATCTCTGTGAGACCAGCCTGGGCTACATAGCGAGTGCCAGGTCAATTTCAACTACATAGTGAGACCCTGTCTCAAAAAGACAAAAACAACAACAACAAAAAGATGAATACAGAGTGTCCTTGCTATTAATACTTGAGGTGACTCAAGAGAATATTTTCACCAAGCTCTTAACCTGTCATCTAATTTTCAGCCGGGCCTGGTGATCCATACTGTGATTCTAGCAATTGGGAGGCTGAGGCGGATTGCTGTGAATTTGAGGTTATCCTGGGTTATACAGAAAGCTCAAAGCCAGCCTAGGTTAAATACTGAGACTCAAACAGCCGGGCATGGTGGCACACACCTGTAATGCCAGCACTTGGGAGGCTGAGGCAGGAGGATCACTCTAAATTCAAGACTAGCTTGGGCCACATAGTGAGTTCACGGCCAGCCTGGACTACACACAAGACCCTGTCTCAAAAAACCACCACCACAGCAAAATGAGACTCTTATCTCTAAAAGCAAAACAAAACAAAAGAAAGTTTTTGAGTTTGAATTTTAAAAATTTAATTTTGTGTACAATAGTGAAAAAATGGTGAGAAAAGCCACGCTTTTGTGGAACTCACATCAGAGCTATCAGGGTGAGCGAGGAGAAATACGTGAAGAAATTAATCTATATTAAGCCAGGTTGCTACGAAGAGAAAACAAGCAGAGCCAGAAGGACAAGGCGGAGGGGGTGGACTATTTTAGGAGCAGGACTGGGAGGGCCTCTCAGAGACGCTGGCATTTGCTAGGGACCTAATGGTGGGACAGAGCCACCAGGTTATTTCGGGATGAACACCCAGGAGGGACAGCAGGTGCAAAGGTCCCAGGGCAGCCACCACAGGAGGCTGACGGCTGGGGCACGAGGGTGCCGGGCGTGGGGCTGCATGGCCCACCGAGCAACCACAAACTTCCTTCTGATTCACATCCCTGAAGGTTTCAAGGCAGACATGGCGGTGCACACTGGTAATCCCAGCACTCTGGGAGGCTGAGGCAGGAGGAGTGCAAGTTGGAACCCAGCCTGGATAACTTAGTGAGACCCTATCTCAAAATAAAAATTAAAGAAAGGGCTGGGGCTGTAACTCAGTGTGAAGGCCCGATACAATCATCAGTACTGGAAGAAGGGAGGGAGGAAGGGAGGGGTCATTGGAGGTTTTAGAGGAGAGCCATGAATAATCCTGAGTCCCAGGATGCCTAGGTACTGGAGGAATGGAAAATAAACACAGGCATCTGCCAAGGAGGAGCTGCACAGCCGCAGTGTGCAGCTCCTGCGTCCACAGTGAGGTAGGAAAGTAGAAGTAACTACCATTCACCACACACCACTCTTCAGCTTTTAATCAGGAATTTTGTTTTGTTTTGTGGACGGTGTGTTGCCTTGTTGACCCTGTTCCTCTGGAACTCTGGGGTTTGCAGGACCCTCCTGTCTCAGCCTCCCCGCCTGGCTGGACAGTATTATGTGCTGCACCAGGCTGATCCCGGCCTTTACAGTGGGTTCCTCCTTACTTACCTAGAGCAGGCAGTTTTGTTTTCTTTTGGTATCTGGGATCGAACTTGCGCTAGCGAGGAAGGCAGCGGCACCACTGAGCTAGATCCCCGGTCCTCTACTTACCTAAAAAAAAGAAGGCTCAGGACAAAGGCACTGCAGAACAGCCTTCACTGCGGAATCCAGAGCTTCCTACCAACTTGCCTAAGCCAGGCGTGACTCACACGCCCAAGCTCAGGGCTGGCCAGCCTAGCAAGCGCAAGGCCCTCAGTTTGATTCCTGATACCACAGAAGTAAGGAAAACAAAAAGAAAGAAAGGAGTCCAAACTCAGAGTCTTCCGTTTTAGCCACTGTGGATACTCAATTCAAACTAATAGTGCACATATGAAGAAAATAAAATTAAATATGAACAAAATGAAAAACTGAAGCAAACAGGTAAGGAACAGAAATAAAGACAGCTATGGGTAGAGATATGAAGCAGTACTGTAAATAGGAAACTATGCAATATTTCCCACTTTTGTTTGAGACCGGGTCCCACTGTGGAGCCCAGGCTGGCCTCAAATTCGCAGCCATCCTCCTTCCTCTAATCCCAGCACTTGGGAGGCTGAGGCAGGAGGAACACGAGTTCAAGGCCTGCCTAAAAGATACACATTAAAGTGCTGCGGCATGACAAGCATCTCCTGGTGCTGTAGCTCAGTGCAAAGGCCCTGGGCTCAGTCTTCAGCGCACACACACACACGCACACACACACACACTCGGAAGGAAGAAAGGTAAGCAGGGACGGAGTTGGCCAAAACGGCCCTCCATGCAGGTGCGGCCCTGCACCTCTCCACCAGGCAGGTGCCTCCGGGGTCAGGACAGTGAGCTCGGCTGCTGGCTCAGTCTCTCCCTGGATGCCATCCGGTCCTCAAGCAGCTGTCAGCTGGAGGGAGCTCCAAGGTGGCCCCGGTTCCTGGGCGGATGGTGCAGGGTGCTCTCAAGAGCCTTCCTGCGGCTGGAGGAAGACACCGTGAAGGCCAGGATCAGCCTGCTGCAGGACATAAGTGGGGTCCGGGGACTTGCAGGAGGCCCTGGCCTTGTGCCTGCTTTATCACTGAGCTACATTCCGGTCTTTAAAAACATATTTTTATACGGGAAGTCGGGTGTGGCATTTTGGGAGGCTGAAGCGGGAGGATCGCAAGTGTGAGGACGGTTCGGGCAGCTTAAGACCCTGTCTGGAAAGAAAACATTTACACAGGGATGGCGATGTAGCTCAACGTGAAGCCCCTGAGTCCCATCATCAGTACTGAAAAGCAAATTATTTCCAGACAGGATCCTGCTGAATGTCCAGTCTGGCCCCCCTCCTGAGGGGCTGCACCATCAGGCTGAGGAAGAGGACCTTTCATTGTAATCTAGTCTCAGTCAGGTGAGATCCTGTCTCAGGATAAAATCAAAAAGGCCCTGGGGAGGAGCTCGGTGGTAGAGAGCCTGTGGTTCGCGTTCTTCCCCGGAACCCCAGAAAATGTTTAGGGGACCAGACAAGGGCAGAGACGTGATCCTGAGGTGGATGGGAACCGGATCAGGAGAAAGGGGCCCCATAGAGGAAGTGGACGGTCTGATAGAGGAAAGGTTTTTTTCTTTTCTAACAGTGTTTTTTTAAAGTCAAATTTTAAATTTTTATTTATTCTTTGGGGGGAGACCAGGGATCGAACTCGGGATCTTGCGCTTGGGAGGCCGGAGGGCGCCACTGAGCTAAATCCCCAGCCCTAATACTGGTTTTTTAGTACTGGAGATTGAACCCAGGGCTGTGCACTGAGCTGCATCCCGGCCTTTTTAGTTTTGAAACGGTGTCTTGCTAAATTGGCCAGGCTGGGTGTGAACTTGTGATCTTCCTGCCTCAGCCTCCCGGGGTGTGTGGACCTAGGCACACCCTTTTCTCGCCCGCCCTTCTTTTTCGAGGCAGCTCTTGCTATAGCTGACCTGAAACGCTTGCGCTCAGCAGATCTTCCTGCTTCAGCCTCCCCAGCAGCGGGGACTGGCACCCACCACGCCAGACGGTGCCGTTGGTGCGGAGGCCACGGGAGAGGGGAGCTGACTTTGCCCGCAGAGGGGCAGAGGGCGTCGGCGAGGCCGCCGCCA